CGGCCTCTGGAGCTGGGGAGGAAGCACCTGTGAGGGTGTTAGCAGGACAGGGTGGCCCCCAAGGGCTTGGAGGGGGGGCAGCAGCGTCTCACCCAGGATGCGCTGTGCCCGTTGTTTCTGGCTGGGGTTTGAACCCCCCACCTGATGAGAGGGTGAAGAGAGGGGAAGCTCTCGGTCGTAGGGCTGTGGAGGAACTAGTCGCTGTCCCCTGAGAGTGGGGGCGTGTAAGTGGACAAGCAGCCGGAGTGCGTGCACGCATCTCGGTGACCCAGGCCGGAGGAGGTGGGCTCAGGCAGTCAGGCGAGTAGACTGTGGCTTGGTCAAAATCCCTCCTGTCGTCTGGGTGGCTGGAGGACTCCGGACCCTGGCTTCCTCTGATGCCACAGCTGCCCAGGCCCCTTCCTCTCTAAGACATTCCCCCCTGCAACACACACCCCGGCTTCCTCTTCCCCATCACATCCTCCCTGGGGCTCTGGGGGAATTGAGGGCCACTCCGTGTCCTGTCTAGGCGAGCCCAGGCCCCCGCACCCAGCTGCCCCCTCCGCCCCCTCCCATGGCCTCCCCCTCCCGCACCCACGGTCCTAGTGCCGTCCTGTCCTGCTCCCCGGCTGTGGCTAGGCCTGGGACTCAGAACTTGCCGGGGATCAGGCCAGTGCTTCCCGCGACACATAAAAATACCCCTGACCTGAGACACCCCCACTTCACCCCACCCCACCCTATATCGGGCAACCTCTGTCTCAGGCAGCACTTCCGCAGCCCCGACAGGAAATGGGCTGGAGGCTCAGCCTCCCGCCATCTCAAAGCAACTTCTTGTTCCCCGGTTGCCCTGGGCCAGCCCTGGGGTTGTGCCCCTTGGCTCCAGCCCTGAAACCTTCCCAGGGCTCCGTCCCAGCAGCTCCGAGGGGACAGGATGGTGGACATGATTGCCAAGCTGACCAAGAGGCGGAGCCGGGCCCTGCAGGCACAGGTGGGGGACCCTCGCGTTTGGGGGCAAGCTCAGCCTCTGATGGGGATGGCTGAGGGCCTTGCGTCAAGGGGCCCCCAGCGGGCCTCCATCCTCTGGCCCTCTCAGGAGCCGGGTGAGCTGGGTTTTGGAGCAGGACATCTCCCAAACTTGGGGGACCCCTCCCTTCTTTCCTCGTTCCTTTTCCAAGGCCAGATAGGCATGTCTGTGGGGGGGCTGCAGAGGGACGCTGAGAGATGGTGATCAGCTTGGGGGAAGAGAGGCAGGCCGGCCACCTGCTTGTGGACAAGGGGAGGGAACTGGAGATGAGGGGAGTGCTGGGGGGCCGGGCAGCTGGTGTGGTGAGAGCCAGAGCCCCTCTAGGCTCTGTCCTCTGGCCTGGAGGGGGGGGGGACCACTTCCCCTTTCCTACTGGTGTTCCCCGTGTCGCTGTCGTGATTGGGGTCTGGGCCTCAAGAGCTACTGGTGCCCTCATCAGGGCCTTGTTGATGGGCTGTGACGGGTGTTGTCTGGGCGCCCAGGAGTTGTGGGCCGGGGTAGCAGGCCCTGCTCTAACTTGGGCGAGCTTCCCCTTGGAGGCCAAAAGGGACGGGGGGGGGGCGGGGAGGTGCTGGCCCCACCTGGCTTCCAGTCTGATCCTGGCTCTGCTAGGAGAGGAAAGTGCCTCTATCTTAGCACTGTGGGGGCCCTACAGAGGGTTCTAGAGTTTGAAGGGGCCTCAGGGCTGCTGCCGTCCAGCTCCCCGCACAGGGCTGCAGTGTCGCTAACGGGGGTGGACCCTGCCTGCTCGACCCCGGGGAAAGCCCCTGACTACCTCCCGAAGCAGCCTGTGTCTCTAGGGCAGCCCCAATCCTTAGAATGGGCTTCCTTCCAGGGGGCCCTGCCCTGCCCCCATCTGGCCTCTAATCTGCAGTCTGGAGCCCCACAGTGCGACCCTCCCATGCTGGGGAGCCTAAGCATCTACCTCCTAGATCTGCTGTATATCCTCGAGGGGTGTTCCTTGTGCAAGATCCCCCTCAGCCTGACCAGCCTGGGACTCCCCGTGGACTCCTAGCCAAGACCAGCAGCCTGCAGGTGGAAATCTCCACTCTGAACAGCCTGGCTCCTTCCTTAGCTCATCCACCCCCCCACCCCACATATGACCTTCCAGCCCCTGTCGCAGGGATGGGAAGGCCACTGCCTCAGTGGGTCTAGCTGGGGCGGGCAGGAGGTGTTTTTGGTCATCTACCTTCCTCTGCCCACTGCCTCCATCCCATCCTCCCAAGGAGTCTCCTGTGCTGAACCTCATTCCCAGGAAGCCCTCGTTCAAAGCTAACTTCAATCTCTCCTGTAGTGGGTGTGCGCGTGTTGGTTGTTGCTGAAGTGTGGCCTGGAGTTGGCTTGCGTACTCAGGCAGTAAGTCCCTTTGGTGGACCTGCTGCCTGCTTCAGGGCATTGGGCCACCTGCTGGAGGGCGACTGGGGTCAATTATGTCATCCTGGGTCCAGCCCTCAAAAAACCCCTGCCTTTGGGGTCAGAGGAGGTAGGCAGAGGGACGGACAACCAACAGGCCAGCAGGGCAGAACGCTGCTGGACCCTCGCGGGGGATGAAGAGAGTGACAGCAGGCTAGGTGTCTCTCCTGAGGGAGAAGGTCTCTCCCAGGAGGCTTGGAGTGGAGCTGCAGAGGAGTGGGGTCTGGGTAGGCAGGTAATGAGAGCGGGGGGTTTCCAGGCTGAGGGACCCCTGGAGCAAAGGTCCAGAGATGGGAAGACGGCTTTTGTGTTTGGGGGAGGGTCCGCGAGCTGGCGTGGGTGGGATCCAGGATGCTCAGGGGGCTGCAGCTGGCAGAGAGAAAGAAGTGGGGTGGAGGGTCCTGCCTCAGCCACACAAGAGCTTGTGGGGGGAGGGAGGGGAGTGAGGAACTGGTGTACCCAGCTCTTCCTGGTCCCCCCCCCAGGTCTGGGACCTGCCCCCCGGTTGGTCTAGAATACGCTGCTTGTCTGAGAGTTTGTCTCCTTGCTAGCAGTAATTATCATGGACGTGCGTGCATTTCACTCATCCCCCCCCCCCGCTCCCCAACCGTTTACACACGCTGCCCAGTGGGGATTTGGGTCCCTTTGTTCACTAACTGCATTCCCAGTGCCTAGAACAGAGCCTGCACTGGACAGGTGAATCTTTGTGGGACACATGAATGTGGTTTTGGGCACCTACCTAAGACCGGGGAGAGGCCACCTTGACAGGACTCGCTTCCCCTCTTGGGGAGCTTACCACTTAGCGAAGGCATCAGAGCAACAGAGGGACTTCTGTGATTAAAAAAGGGGGGGCGGGGGTGGTTATTATACAAAATTTTGAGAAAGGTTTAAAGAAAAAAATAAATAAAAACAAACCCAATCCCTATAATCACACTGCCCAGAGATAACCTCTGTTAGCATTTTGGGGGGTTTCTAAAAAGACATAATTGGAACTATATGCTGTTCACTGTGTTGAAATCTGCATTTCCCATGTCGCATTATATATTCTTAGAAACAGTATTGGGGCGCCAGGGTGGCTCAGTCAGTTAAGCGTCTGCCTGGTTAAGCATCTGCCTTTGGCTCAGGTCATGATCCCAAGGTTGGGTCAGGCTCTCTGCTCAACGGGGAGCCTGCTTCTCCCTCTCCCTCTGCCTGCCCCTCCCCCTGCTTACTCTCTGTCTTTTTCTCTCTCTCTCTCTCTCTCCCCCCCACTGTGTCAAATAAATAAATCTTAAAAAAAAAAAAAAGAAACAGAATTAATCTGGGGCACCTGGGTGGCTCAGTCTGTTAAGCACCTGCCTTCGGCTCAGGTCGTGATCTTGGGGTCCAGGGATGGAGGCCCTCCCCCCACATTGCATCAGGCTCCCTGCTCAGTGGGGAGTCTGCTTCTCCCTCTGCCCCTCACCCTGTGCTCTCTCTTACTTGCTCTCTCTCTCTCAAATAAATAAATAAAATATTTAAAAAAAAAAGAAAAGAAAAGAAAAAACAATATTTATCTTCTGGTGCTGTTCTGCTGGCTGGGGTTTGATAGTGTAGTTATCTATCCCTGTGGCAGGCTGAGGGTGCTAGGCCGTAGTAGGCACACTAGAGGAATCTCGGGGAAAGGCCTTGAACCTGACACCTGAGCTGAGTCCTAAAGAAGGAAGTGGAGTTGGCCAGGTGAAAAAGGGGTGGGGATGGGCTGAGGCCCAAGACACAGCCCAGAGGGTGGGGCCTCCAGCCAACTCCCTGCTACTAGAGCTTAAAGTTCAAGGCAAGGGGTCAGGAATGACAGGAAATAAGGTGGAAGACAGGCAGGTGACAGACGCCTCTGGTGCCCTGGTGCCCTGTAGACTTTGCCCGGCAGGTGGCAGGGAGCAGTGGAGTGTTGAGTATGACCAGACTCATGTTCTGTGTGACTGAACCCTCCAGCGCCCCCCTGCTTTCCTTTGGACAGCAAGAGGGGCTCATCTTTCCTTGCTCCTCCTTCCTCCCTCCCATCTGGCTCTCCTCTCTCTTTCCTTTCTCTGCAGTTGATTCTCAGGCCTGCAAAACCCACGTTCAGGAAGTTTCAGTCCCAGATCCAGAGGTAGTACTGATTCCAGTCCCAGAGCTTTCAAGGGCCAGGAAGGAAGGAGGGGTGGGGCTGCAGAGTGCTGCAGGGCCCTGCCCCGGTGTGACCTGCAGGGGGAGGAAAAGGAATGGGGCCCAGGCCATTTCTCTATTCCCGCCCAGCCTCTGATTCGCCCCCTGGAGTGCAGAGTCAGTGCACAGCTGGGAGAACTCGGTTATAGATATTTTATTATTGTTCATAAATAATTAATGTAACTGCCCTGTGCATCTGGGTCATTTCATACTTGGCAATGCACTTTCAAGAATATTTGCTCATTCTCTCTTCACTACAATTTCTGGAGCGGGCAGGACAGCCATTGTGCAGCCGGCGGAACTGAAGCCGGGGGTACCCTAACTTGCCAAAGGTCACCCAGGAGGCAAGTCAAGTGGCCGAGTCGGGACTGTGTGACCCCGGAGCTGCCCTGAAGGTCACGTCTCCTTCCTCCTCCCACAGGTGGACGACCCCCCGGAGGAGCCCGTGTACGAGAACGTAGAGCGGCAGCCTTCGGTCCCTTCGCCGGGCGCCAGCGCGCCCCCCCGGCCCCCGGCGTGGGAGACGCACACGGACGCGGGCAGCGGGCGTCCCTACTACTACAACCCAGACACGGGCGTGACCACGTGGGAGTCGCCCTTCGAGGCTGCTGAGGGCGCCGCCAGCCCGGCCACCTCCCCGGCCTCGGTGGGCAGCCGCGAGAGCCTCGAGACCGACTGGGGTCAGTATTGGGATGAGGAGAGCCGCAGGGTGTTCTTCTACAACCCGCTGACGGGCGAGGCCGTCTGGGAGGACGAGCCCGAGGACGAGCCCGAGGACGAGCCCGAGGACGAGCCCGAGCACGAGCTGGAGATGCAGCCGGGCCTGAGCCCGCTCAGCCCCCGGGAGCAGAGGGTGAGGGGGCGGGACCTGGCCCGGGGTGGGCGGGGTGGCGCCCCGAGGGTCTCAGACCCCGCCTCCCGCCCCCCGCAGCCCCCGGGAAGGAGGGAGAGGGGCGGGGCCTGGCCGGGGGGCGGGGCGGGGCGGCTCTGAGGCCTCAGACCCCGCCTCCTGCTCCCCACAGCCCCCAGACTGCTCGTGGGGGCGAGGCCTGGTCTAAAAGGGCGGGGCCAAGGGTGCGTACTGGCTCTGAGACGCTCTGACTCAGGCTTCTGCTCCCTGCAGCCCCCTACGCCGGAGACGGATTACCCCGAGTCGCTGACCGGTTACCCGGAGGAGGACTATTCCCCGGTGGGCTCTTTCAGTGAGCCTCGGTCCACCTCGCCTTTGGCCGCGCCCCCCGGCTGGTCTTGCCAAGTGAGCCCCGACGGGCAGACGCTCTACACCAACCACTTCACCCAAGAGCAGGTACGGGCAGCGGGCACATGTGCCCGGACAGCCCCCCCTCCCCCCCCCGTCATTCCTCCACCTCTTCTTCACTAGTAGCTCACCTTCACACCATAAACCAGCTCCTGGGTGGGCTCCAAGACACCCCCTTGCCCGCGCCTGACCCTCCAAACCCCTTGGGGTTATATTGGGCTCTGGTCAAAGGGGAACTTTGCCTGCCGTCCACTGAGGTGGGCTGGGAGCCCTGACCATCCCTCTCCCGACAGTGGGTGAGGTTGGAGGACCAACACGGGAAGCCCTACTTCTACAACCCAGATGACGCCTCAGTTCAGTGGGAGCTGCCCCAGGTAACCCACTGGGAAAGGGAGAGTCTTGGGGAGAGGGGACGGGATTATGTATGACAGTGTCTTTCTCCTCAGGTTCCTGTCCCTGCCCCTCGAAGCATCCACAAATCCAGCCAGGACAGTGAGACCCCAGCCCAGGCCAGCCCACCTGAGGAGAAGGTAAGGGAAGGAGCATGTAGGCCCCGGCAGGGCCCCCACAGAAGAAATAGGGGCTTCCTGAAGGTTGAGGGGGCTAGGCCGGGGCCGGGCATGTCTCCCCCACAGGCCCCAGCACGAGCCTGGGCTGAATGAACCTGGGTCTGGGTCATCCTGGCCCAGGGCTGGGGGAGGCTGGGAGCTGGGAGGAGATCTGTCCTGCTGGCTGGCGTGAGGGCAGGGACCCCACCAGCGCCAGCAGCAAAGAGGGTTCGGTGGTGACTCAGGCCCAGCCTGTAAGGAGTTGCTGGCTGTGGAGGAGGCTAGCCTCTGCCCCCTGTGGCCCAGCCTGTTAACTTGCCTCCTCTGTCCCCTCGGCTTTCTCAGACCAAGACTCTGGACAAGGCCGGCGTGCTCCATCGCACCAAGACGGCGGACAAGGGAAGGCGGCTCCGGTGAGAGCCCAGCGGCACCCAGACCGGGGCGCGCTGGGCCTTAACGCTGACATTTACTGAGCGCGTTCTGTATGCCAGGCTCTTGTTAATCCTCATGGCAACTTTCTAAGAGGTCCCATGAGGACCCTGAGGCACCGAGAGATAGGGGCTTGCCCAGGGTCCCTTGGCTACCAAGTATTAGAAATGGGAGTCCAGTGCTCACCGTTGGATGCCCCAAGCCAAGCTGTGTTCTTCAGCTCTGTGCCCTGCTCCTGGCGCTGGAAGGGGCCCTCAGCCCAGGGCCAGATGCAAGCCTGGTCACCCCCCACTTCCCCACCCCCACCTAGGAAGAAGCACTGGAGCGCCTCCTGGACGGTGCTGGAGGGTGGCGTGCTGACATTCTTCAAGGACTCAAAGGCCTCAGCTGCAGGCGGCCTGGTGAGGGCCAGACTCCCAGGACAGGGACCCCCCCATCTGCTCCTGACTCCTATGGCTCTTTACCTGATCTGGCTTGTCAAAGGCTAGATCTGCGACAGTGGAACATGAGTGCCGGGGGAGCTGGGCCTTGGCAGGGGGTGACGACAGCAGATTCAGCCCACGACAAGCACTTCCAGCCACCCTGGACATGGGGAGCTGTCCTTGAGGGTGGCCACTTCAGCCTGGTGGGCAGGCAGACTAGGGACCGGGCACGCCTGCTCCCGGGCATGAGGGCTGTTCTCCTTTCTCCTTTCCTCTCCTGGGTGGGCAGGCAGCAGAGGACCAGCCAGCCCAGGACCTCTGGGTTCCAGGAACCCTTCCCCATCCTGTCCTTGAAGCCAGGGGAGCCTGGTGGATTGGAGCCAGGAGCCCCGGCAGGCCTGTCTGAGCTGAGGGCTCCCTCTAACTGTGCTCCCCTCAACCCTTCTCCCCTCTCCCACAGAGGCAGCCTCCCAAGCTCTCCACCCCTGAGTACACAGTGGAGCTGAGGGGGGCCTCTCTCTCCTGGGCCCCCAAGGACAAATCTAGCAGGAAGAATGTGCTGGAGGTGAGTGGTGGGGGTTGGGAGAAGGAGAGGGGGCTTACTGATGGCTTGAGACCCTCAGCAGGCAAGCCCCAAGAAGGGGGACCTGGGGAGAGTGGGACTGGAATTCTCAGGGCTCAAAACCAAAGTTGTGTCCACCTTGGGGATCCGTCCACGGTATTTCTGGCGTCACGGATTCTGCAGTTCCCTTTTACTAGTCCTTGGCCCCGGAGTGTGGTGAGAAGTAGGGGGTCTCTGGGGGATGAAACCCACGCCTGGAAGGACAGCCCTCATCCCAGACAGGAGACTCCCTGTCCCCTGCTACTCACTTTGACAGGTTGGAAACCTGCTCTGGCCGGTCAGAGCCCAGGTTCCAACTGAACTGGGTCCTCCATGAATAAACTGGGTCCCCAGTTTCCCAGGCTCCCCGAGCAGGAAGACTGGGACCAGGTGGGGCCCAGGCAAGGTCCCTCACGGTGCCACACCCTCCACTGTCCACGTGTTGTCTTGCTTTTAAACTACCTTTAGCCTCACCTCAGTCCCCAGAAGTTCTGAGGAAGCTCACAACAACAACAACAACACATGGGGAGCTGGTGAAATCCACTGAAAAGCCAGACCAGGCACAAGTTAGAGCAAGGGGTCCATGTGGAGAGGCATCGGGGACAGATGACGTACAGGGGCTATACTGTTGCTGAAAAAAATTAGCTCAGGTTTCCTGGTAGCCAAAGTGAAAAGAGAAGGAGGATCAGTTACGTGGTTCTTCTTGGGGGGGGGGGGGCTTTCCCCAATCTGTTGAAGCCATTTTTAGTGCACAGCTCCAGCCTAGGTTAGTAAGGGACCCTTGGAGCTGCTCCAGGTAACATGACAAAAGCCAAAAGCATAACCTCACAGTTCAGCTCAGAAAAAGCAGTTCTGCCAGGCCCTTGAGAGTTTTCTGAAGATCCACCAAGCTTCATTCAGTTCTAGAAGCAGCGTATCCACAGAGCAGGGCTGGAAAACCAGATTGATCTCCTGAGCTGCTCTCATCAGGAGGTCTGGAGCCTTTTCCCAGTTGTCTTTTCTGACAAGAACCGGAAGGCAGATGGGACTCTTGGAAGCTACTCAAGCTGTTGGAAAGGCTGACAGTCTTGAATGGAAATGGAGGAGCCCCCGCTTCCACTTCCTGGCTGGCAGGTGGCCATCCTGCCTCCACTCAGGGGGTGGCCTGCAGGCACCTCTAGGATTTTTCTCAAGAGGCAGCCCCACATTCTAGATCGTGGCCAGGTTACTTGGGCCTGGCAGATTTTCACAACAGGTCCTCCTCGTCACTCCAGAGTCACAGAAAACTTCAGTAATAGTCCTCCCAAAACAGCTGGTTTGGACAGCTCAGCTTGCCTGTGCATCTAGCAGGATGAATGTTCTGGGAGATAGATTGCTGAGTAACTAGCTTTTCCTTCTGTATGAAACCTTCAGATAGGAACAGATTATGTTTTGAGAGGGCCTGGGTTTGCCCATCTGTAACAGAGACTGTCTCTTACTGCTTTGAATGAGGCGGAATGCCTTGGCCTGGGGTGAAGCCCTTGCTCGACTGTGCTCTCAGTTCCTGGGGACAAGGACAGATCATCTCCACCATTTCTGTATCTCCCCTCCCCGCACCCCCTACCACTGAGGCCTGGCCCCAGAGCCGACCCGGGGAGCCAGAGATGACTGAGTGACTCCTGTCTCTCCAGCTGCGGAGCCGAGATGGCTCAGAGTACCTGATCCAGCATGACTCCGAGGCCATCATCAGCACCTGGCACAAGGCCATTGGCGAGGGCATCCAGGAGCTGGTAAGCAGAGCCTGGGGCCTCCGGGGCTGGTGGGGATGGGATGGCCAGCCATTATGCAGAACAGAGTGTGGGTGAGTGCCCCTCCCTGCAGATGCAGGCCCCACTCAGGGCTGTGTGGCAGATGGGCTGCTGAAGAAATGGTCTTTCTTAAGTAGGCAAATCCAGCCTGTGGGGTTGGCCCTGCAGGAGATCTCTCCAGGTCGGGGTGGGGGGCACATCCTAGAGGAATGTTCCACTTCAAGGGAGGCAGGCAGAAAAGGAAATCTGAGAAAGAGCCTCAGGCTGGAATGACAGGCTAAAGCCAGAAGGGAACATTTTAAAGGCTTGGATTGAAGAGTCTGCTGTTGTTTAGGTTCAAAATATTCATTGCATAACTAGAGATGGAACAGGCCCCCTCTGACAGCTCTTCACCTGGAAGCAACCTGGGGCTTTTTGAGCCTCAATTCCCTGGGAGCCAACACTGAGTACAGAGTTTGGCTGTATTACTAGAGGTAGGAATCCAGGTCGAGGGCGGTGATGTGATTGTTGGCAGTGCTGGGGCCTCAGCTGAAATTTTAAGTTCAGAACTCAGAGCCACATAATTGAGGAATGCTGACCTAGTGGATTGTGTGCAGAGGGTCTAGGAAAATATGGGCAAGGGGGGCCAGGATAAGAAAGACCGGGAGAGAGCAGGATGACTGTCTCCAACACCTGAAGGGCTCCATGCAGCTAAGGGAGGTGAACGTTCTGAGGTTCCGCGGTAGGAGGTCAGGGGTGGAGAAGGGAAGCGTGAACTGTGCTTGGGAGTCATCGGGCCGGCTGGGAGGGCACTCGGGGCCCCTCACGCTGTCCCAGAAGCCCGGCCCCAGGCCCTGCTTCTCTGAGGCCGCGTGATTCCAGTCCGCAGACCTGCCCCGGGAGGAGGAAAGCGAGAGCAGCAGCGCGGACTTCGGGTCCAGCGAGCGCTTGGGAAGCTGGCGGGAGGACGAGGCGCGGCCGGGTGCAGGTGCGCGCGGGGGGTGGGGGGGGGGGTGGAGGGCATCTCCCGGGAACCGGCGTCGCGGGGGAGGCGGGGGGTGACGACCCGGCTGGGGCCAGCCCGGCCAGTCCCGGCGCCACCGAGTGACCCGGCCCCGCACTCCCCGGCCCAGGTGCAGCCACCTCGGAGAGCGACCTGAGCAGGGTCCGGCACCGGCTCCGCTGGTTGCTGCTGAAGCGGCCCACGCTGCAGTCGCTGCGGGAGAAGGGCTACATCAAAGGTACCCGAGGGAGTGCGAGCGCGCGGCGGGGGGGGGGGGGGGGGGGGAAGGGGGGGGCTCGGGGCCGGGCGGCGCTGACGAGCCTCTGCCCCAGACCAGGTGTTCGGCTGCGCGCTCGCCGCGCTGTGTGAGCGCGAGAGGAGCTCCGTGCCGCGCTTCGTGCAGCAGTGCATCCGCACCGTAGAGGCCCGGGGTAGGCGCGGCGCCCGGAGGCCTCCCTCCCGGACCCCAAGACGGAGACCCCTGGGGTTGGGGGGCGCGGGGAGGGGGGAACGGGAGCCCCTGAGTGGGACTCCGAGCAGGAGCTTTAGGCCCCTCCCGCTCAGCCGAGGTCAGCGCCTCCCTCTGCCCCAGGGCTGGACATCGACGGCCTGTACCGCATCAGTGGAAACCTGGCCACCATCCAGAAGCTGCGCTATAAGGTGGACCACGGTGAGGCCCGGCTCCCGTCCCTCACCCCAGGGCCTGACGGCACCAAGGGGTGCTCACCGCCTCTTCCGCCCCCCTTGCCGCAGATGAGCGCCTGGACCTGGACGACGGGCGCTGGGAGGACGTCCACGTAATCACCGGGGCCCTGAAGCTCTTCTTTCGAGAGCTGCCGGAGCCCCTCTTCCCCTTCTCGCACTTCCGCCAGTTCATCGCGGCCATCAGTGAGCGCCTGGGGGAGGCGGGGCGGGTGGGGTAGGGATGGGGCCGGCCTGCCGCCCCCGCACCCCCTCGGCCGGACTCCTCCCCCCTCCCCCGCCACCGGGACTCAGCCCCTCTGTTCCCCGAGCCGAGCCGACCCTCCCTTCCCTTCCGCAGAGCTGCAGGACCAGGCCCAGCGCCGCCGCTGTGTGCGGGACCTGGTGCGCTCGCTGCCCGCCCCCAACCACGACACGCTCCGGCTGCTCTTCCAGCACCTGAGGCGGTGAGCCGGCGAGCCGCGGGAATGGGGAGGCGGGTGCGGGCGGACCCCCACGCGCCCTCCAGCTCCGGGCCCTGACGCCGCCCTCCCCACCCCGCTCCCCGCTGCAGGGTGATCGAGCACGGGGATCAGAACCGCATGTCCGTGCAGAGCGTGGCCATAGTGTTCGGGCCCACGCTGCTGCGGCCCGAGACCGAGGAGACCAGCATGCCCATGACCATGGTGTTCCAGAACCAGGTGGTGGAGCTCATCCTGCAGCGCTGCTCGGACATCTTCCCGCCGCACTGACCGCGGGCCGCTGCCCCCACCCCCCGCGGCTGGCGCTGCGGACCCGGGACTGAGGGCGGCGACAGTGGTCCTGCCTTGGAAGCCGGACGGTTGGAGGCCGCTTGGCTGGACTCCTCTGTGAGACCCTCCGCCTCCCAGCGATCCCCAGGCCGAAGTGAAATCTGCACCCCTTGGTGCAGTATGGTGACCCCTGGTGGGCAGTTTGCAAAATGTGATTTCCTCCCCCCCCCCCCCCCCCCCGCCCTGGCCTGTCCCGTTTGGGGCTTACTTGGGTTCTGGTCTTCATTACAGCGACACCTGCTGTGTGTGAGAGAGAGAATGCGCTGGGGTGAGAGTTGCTTTTCCGGGGCGGCTGGCGCTGGGAGGAGGAGTGTGGGTGAGGGGCTTCTCGGCTTCTCCAGGCCTGCACCTGGCGGGGCCTTCAAGGACAGCCCGTGGGGACCGAGCCCCGTGTCAGTCCCGGAGCAGTCGCCTACAGCGCCCCTGCTGCCCAGCCTTGCCTCGGGCCTCACCCCCACCTGACACTCTCCGCCGCTGCCGGGGGGCCATTCCCATCGGCTTTCCGGGCCCGGCCGCCGCCCTCCCCGACCCCTGGGCGCTGTGTGCGCGGGTTCTTCATCCTCAGTGTGTGCCCCGCCCTGGCCGCCTCCCCCGCACCGTCCCCACGCACGATCGCAGACAGGCAGGCAGCGGTGGCGGCAAAGTGACCCGTTCAGGGTCCGTCCAGGCTGCTCTCACACCAGGCCTCCTGGGAGGGCGCGGGCAGTCCTTTCAGCTGCGCCTCCCCTCCAGGCCCCCTGCACAGCCCACCCTGGGCCCCCGGGCAAAGCGAAAGAAACTGCAGCAGGAGGGTTCTGTCTGGGCCTGGGGAGATCCTGAAGGCGGCCAGGGAACCCGCGGCAGCTGTGTTCTGGCAGGGAGGGGAGACAGCACTGGCAGGAGCCCCCCAGCCCCTCTCAGTGCCTGGCTGTCCGGCGGCCTGCCGGGTGCCCACCTCGTCCTGAGGAGCTACGAGAGGCCTGCAGGGCCGGGGGAAGGCGGGTACGGCCTCCGGAAAAGGAAGCGTGAACCCTGGGGCCAGCCATGCCCTTTCCCTCCTCACACACAAACCACCTCAGTTTCTGGGTCCGGGCCCCCCGCCCCACCTACCGTTTGTCTGTTCGGCAAACAATAATAGCTACTATTTATTGACATTTGCACCCTGCCAAGCGTTTCACTTGGATCATCTCGTTTGTCTCTCACAGCCAATATTTATTATCTGCTCTTCTGTGCCAGGCACAGTGCTCTGGGGCAGGGGTACTGCGCGTGCGGACCCATGCCCACCCCACATGCCAACAGGGCCGGGACACGAGTACAAAAGGAGGCCTCACGCCATACGTGGAAATACTGTAGTCACAAATCAAGTTATAACTGTTCAATAAAATATGTTCTATTCTCCTACTTTGACAAATATACTTTCGTGGTGACCTAGAAGACGAGGTTCCAGCCCACACTTCCTTGACCCTTCTGAATTCTGTGCCCGGGCACGTTGGCATGAGAAGAGCAGCCTGCCCCTTGTATCTGCCCTCAGAGCCATCCTGCCCCAGGGGAAGGCCGCGTGCACACATGGGGACAGTCCAGTCCACTAGCACAAACTGCCACGTGTCCCCTGCCCCCTGCTGCCCCTCGGCCACCCCACATGGCCCACCCTTCAGGGAATGGGCTTTTGGGGCAGGGACTTCTGCGGTCTTGCATATCAGGGGCATGGTCCAGAGGGAAGGGCCTGGGCTCCAAGAGGCCCCACAGGCTCCTCATCCTGTGGGGAGAGGGCACAGACTGAGAAGGTCAAGAGTAGAGCCTTCTAAAGCGGGGGACGCGCAGCAGGGCAAGGGTTCCTCACCCCCAGGTCTAAGGACAGAATGGGACAGATGTTAAACAACGGATTACTTGGTTACATTCCTGTGTACAAAAGTAAGAGAAAGTGCAGGGTGCTCTGAAGGTGGGTCGCTCGGGTGTCACTGTCCCTCAGGAACCTGAGATGCTTCTGCAGAAGCCCCATCTGGGCCCAGCACTAAAAAATGGAGAGGAGTTGACAAGGTGAGGAATTAAGGGAAGTGTGTCTAGTCAGAGGGAACAGCATGTGCAAAGGCTCTGCGGCGGGAAGGCTCGTAGAGAGAACAAAATCTGCAAAGAGCCCACACAACCCGAGAGCATGGGGGCGAGGTGGGGCTGGAGAGGCTGAGGGGGGAGAGGGTGTGCAGGGCCTTGTGGGCCACAACAAATGGGGGTCTGTGGCAGGACAGCAGGCGGGAGGCCTTGGGAAGTGTCAGCTCCCCCTGCACTGTCTGATCCCCAGGCTTCTGACACTGCCAAGGCCTTGCTGAGCAAACCATGTAGCAGCAGGCGAAGAGGTCCCAGATTCATCATATTTTGCCACCAGGAAGAGCTGCAGAAATCACCCACTGCCAATGAGGAAACTCCTAGAGAGACAGTATCATAACTCACCGGCGGTCACGGGGCAGACGGCGGCAGAGCCTGCCCGGAGCTTCGTTTGCAGCCTGAGGGCCACCAGACGTGCGGCCTCAGCCGTGAATCCTCAACACCGCGCACAGTGCTCACTGAATATGTTTGGAATGAGTTGGATTTTGTGTGAGACACAAAGATACATAAAAATAGTATCTGCCCCCTTGAAGCACCAGCCGGTTGGGGGACAGAGCAAAAAATAAGTGCGCAGTGGATGAGGGCTGTCCCAGAAGCCCCTCTCCCCAAGCCTGCCCCCTCTCAGCAGATGCTCCGGACCCTCCTACAGCCTCGCATCTGCCCCCGAAGCTGGCCCAGAAAAGGCCAGCGGTGCCCACCTGGTTGCCAAGTCTGACGGGAGCACCCGATCCTCATGCGAGTGGACACGTGAACTGCCTGCTGTCCCCCCATGAAGCTCGCTGTCCCTTTGCCTGCAGCATCAGGGGTCTTTGCCCACCCTGGTAAATAGTGATGCCCGCTGGGTTGCAGCCTCAGCCCATGGCCCTCTCCCCTCCACCCTCCCTAAGGGCCCTCATCCATTCCATCCGGGGGACTCAGGCACCAGGCCTGCACACGGGTCACCCAAATCCCTCACCAGCCAGGACCACTCTCTCCTGAGTTCCAAGTGCAAATGGCCACCTGCTTACAGGACAGCTCTGCATGGATGGCTGTCGGACACCCTGAGTGCAACCTGCCCGCAACGAAACTCCGGGCCCAGCCCTTCTCCCTGTTGTGAGGCATGGCCCCTCCGTTGACCAGAGTCTCCTCCCCACTCCCCCAGAGCCAGTCAGCCACCCCGTCCTTACCTTCCGCCTGTAACTCTTCCTGGGGTCTGCCTCCCGTCCCCCTCAGTCTCTCGCCTCGGTGGCCCGGTGCTCTCTGAATGGGCTCCTCTCTTCCAGGTTTCATCCTCCACCCAGCAGCCGTCTGACCTTGTCACTTCGGCAAGTGGCCTCCAAGGCCATTCCCAGCCCGTCTCCCACCTCTTTGCACACGAGCTGTGCCCCTGTCTATAGCTCCCAGCCAGGCTGTCCCAGCCTCAATGCCAAGGGCTGCCAGTCACCCTGCCTTCCTCCCTTTCACCTGCCTGACTCCTCCCCCTCCTCCCCCTCCTCGCCGCAGCTCACCACTACCACCACCCACCTCCCCCAGCTCTCAGCACCCTGGCCTCCCCGCTCTGTAAGTGTGTTTCCATTTCGGGCCCTTCCCCACTAGGCTCTGGGCCAGCATGTCTTCACCGCTCTCTTTACGGCCAAGTAAATGCCATCGTGTGGAGACACCGAATTTCTTTCTTCATTCATTCATTGATGAACATTTGGGTTGTTTCTACTTTTCTGCTATTAGGAATAATGCTGACTATTTCATGTACGAGGTTTTATGTAGACACACAGTCTGAGCTCGGGCCGCCATCACAAAATGCCATAGGCTGGGTGGCCTAAACAACAGAAATGATTTCTCACAGTCCTGGGGCTGGAAGCGTCAGATCAGGCCGCTGGCATGGAGGGGTTCTGGTGAAGGCTGGGTTCCTGGCTTGCAGACGTCTGCCTTCTTGCTGTGTGCTCACATGGCAGAGAAAGAGCTCACCTCTGTCTCTTCTTTAAAAAAAAAAAAAAAAAAGATTTATTTATTTTGGAGAGAGAGTGCACGCAAATGCAGGGGAGGGGGCACAGGGAGAGGGAGAAGCAGGCTCCCCACTGAGCAGGGAGCCCTTCAAGGGCCTAGATCCCACGACCCTGCGATCATGACCGGAGCCACCCAGGTGCACCTCTTCTTACAAGGACACGAATCTCATCATGGGGGCCCCATCCTCAAGGGCCCTACCTCCCAGCACCACCATATCGGGAGTTAGGGCTTCACATATGAATCTGGGGGGACACAAACATTCAGTCCATCCATATATGTTTTAATCCCCCTGGGCACACACCTGGGAGTGGAACCGCTCAGTCAGATGGTCACTCTGTGTCGAACGTTGTGAGGAACTGCCAAACTAGAGTTTTCCATGGTGGCTGCACCATTTTACATTCTCACAGGCAACGTGAGAGGGTTTCTGTTCTCTCCCACTTTCTGCAGCAGCTGCTTTGGGGATTCATTCTCCTCAAACCTCCGGCCCTCCACACCTCCTCCTCTCCCTCTCCCGCTCCCTCTCCGCTCTCTCTCCAGAGGACCTCACCTCTACCTCACAGAAATAATGGAAACGCTTCACATCCCACCAGCAGAGCTCACAGCCCCCTCACCACATCTTCCCTTGCCTCCCTGCCCCTGGTACCTCGGAGCAGACATCTCTCCAGGACACAGTTAACCTCTTCCCTTTTCCAGAAATTATCCACCACCATGGCCACCTTGCTCTGCTCCTCATTGAACTGCTGTCTCAGGCGGAACTCCTGAGAAGTGGACAGAAGCATGTAGAAAGTCACTGGGGACTGCCCTCAGGACCACACCTGGCGCGGGGGGCAGGAGGATGAAGGCTGCAGGATCAGGCTGAGGGGAAACTGAGCCGCGATGCAGGCCCATCCAGGCCTCCGCTGAACCCACCCGCGGGCAGCTCTGGAGCTGGAACAGCCTCAGCGCCTCGGCGGTGGCCCACGTCGTGGCTGGGGGGGCAGACCCTCAAACGGCCTTATCATCCAGCCACTGGATGAGGCTTGCCTTGGCGGGGTGGGGGAGGGCCCATGAATTTGGGCAAAGAGACTCTCTTCAGCCCGAGGCATGTCCTAGAGAGCGGCTCAGATGGGACCTGTCAACGCCACCGCCCCCCGACAGCTGCAGAAATAAGTGTTCCCACTACAGCATCCAGCAAGCTCTTTCCTCTCCATTCCTTCTCGCCCACACACCATCAGACTCCTGAATTTCCCCTCAAACTCACCAATGATCCCACATCGATACCTGCTGGACATATCAGCTGTCCCCTCGGGAACATCCTGTCTCTGCTGACCACCCCCTCCTCTCCCTCTTGCCTTGCACCACCACGTTCTCCTGCTGGTCCTCCCACTCCAGCCCCAGCATCTCATTCTCTTCTGCGCAGCTGCAAAGGTCAGCGTCCTTGGACCCAGCCCCTCTTCTCCCTCTGTACTCCCTCCCTGGGTGATCCCATCCACACCCAGGGCATCGGGGACTCACTGCTCCGTAGCACTAGGCATGACTGCTCCTAGAAGCTTCAGACCCGTGGCTCCCAGACAACCTGACACCTGCCGGGGACAGTCCTCAGACTGCATTCATGATCTTCCCCAAACCTAGCCCTCCCCCAGGGTTTTACCTGTCCCAGGAAATGGCTGCCGTATCCTCCAAGCTGGGCAAGTCAGAAACCTAGGAGTATATGGCTTCTCCCCCTCTCCCCCTCTCTCCACCCTCCACACCTGACCTATGTCCACATCCTGTCAGTTCTGCCTCCACTTCTCTCCAACGGTGGCCCGCCTGGTCTCAGAGGCTCACATCTCCTGCCTGGATCACTGCAGTACCTTCCAGGCCCTCCCCATCCCACACCCTCTTTCCCCCACCCCACCCACACTCATTTAAAAATACAAACCTAAGTAAATAAATAGTTAAGTAATTAAAAAATAAAAAATAAATACAAATACAAACCTGATTCTGTCATCGCCCTGCTCAAAAAGCATTCTGCTCATCTTAGGAAAAGACAATCTTTAACATGGCCTCTGAGGCTCTGCCTGGTTTGTCCCCTGCGTACTCCTCAACTTCCCTTCGTGGAGCAGTATAGCTTAGTGGTTCAGAGCATGGGCTCTGGAGCCAGACTGTATGGATTCAAATCTAAGCTCCACAACACCCCAGCTAGATGCTTCTGAGTGATTAACTCATTCCTCTGTGTCCCTGTCTTCTCATCTGGAAAATGGGGTTGCTGATAACAGTAGCAACCTCATAGCATAATTGTGAAGATTACAGAAGATACTACTTTTGAGGTTCTGAGAACAGAGTCTCCCAGAATAAACACTCAGTAAACACTTGCTGGGCCTGTGCCTTACTTGCTTTCCTGGTTTCCGCACCGCAACTACGCTAACCTCCCATTGGTTGCTGAAATGTTTCATGATCCCTCCTGCCCCAAGACCTTTGCATGTGCTGTACCCTCTCTGCAGTTCTCTTCTCCCCTTTGCTTTAATCATACTTTTGCATTCTGTTCAGGTAACCTTTCCTCAGGCATCTCCTCTGAATATCCAGCTAGGTCAGCTTTCTTTGTTATGCATTGAGACCCACATGCTTCTCTTACCTTAGCTTATCATTTTATAAGCACATACC